ATATATATATATATATATATATGTGTGTGTGTGTGTGTGTGTGTGTGTGTGTGTGTGTGTGTGTGGTCTGAGTGTTCTGCCTAGAAGAAAATGTCATAAATTGAAACGAAGAACTTAATTGGTTCAGTTAATTAGAAAAGTATTTTTTTTTATTTTGCCATTGGTTATAAATATAAATTTATTTTACCATTGAATATAAATATAAATTGTCACTGCTACAGCCTTTTTTACTCTATATATTTTTAATACATTTAATTTAAATTTTAATTAAATTTTAAAACAGAATATATTAAGAATGAACATAATAAAACGAGGAAAAATTATTACATGGACTCCATATCAGAGCTGCTTGCATAGTCCAATCTAGCTTTGACACGTGAAAGATATGTTCACCTACATAAAAAAATGAAAAAAAAAAAAACACGCGACCAGACCCAACCCGACCCTACCGATGCGTTACAAAGCCTAAGAAAATAATTTTTGCGTTGTTTATTCTTGTTGCGGCGTTATAAGAATATTTCATCGCGTTATTCTGAATAACACTTCAATAACATGGAAAATATTCAGAATAACGCAATGAAATATTCCTATAACACGGAATATTCCTAAACCTTCAATAACTCATTAAATAACACATAAATAACGTTCAGAATAACGCGAGGGAGTATTCTTATAACACGGAATATTCCTAACCCTCAATAAAACACCAATAACACATCAATAACATATGAATAATGCGGGAAATATTCAAAATAATGCAAGAGAATATTCCTATAATACAGATTGAATACCATATTAGATAACATATGAATAACGCGAGGGAATATTCTTAAACCCTTAATAACACATGAATAACAAGAAAAATATTCAGAATAACACGGGTGAAATATTCCTAAACACTCAATAACACACCAATAACACATGAATAACACGAAAAATATTCAGAATAACGCGGGGGAATATTCCTATAACGCATCGATCGGCTCGAGTCGCGCGTTTTCATTATTTTTTCAATTTTTTATGTAAGTAGATCCAGAATTCCACAAGTCGGTGAGAGATTGGACTCTGCAAGCAACTATGCATGCGGAGTCCTGATGTAATAATATTCCTAAAACAAGAGTTTCAACAACAACGACGTATAATCAAACATCAATAATTTATAGTAAATACTGCGGCAAATGGTTGTGAAAAATCATTTAAATGCATACAACCCAAACTTTTTTTGTATTTACATGTCTAACACCTAAGCATAACTTTTACATACACGTCAACTTACCCATACATTATACCACATCAAAACAATCACTTGTCGTCATCAAAAGAGTCGACACAAGAGAAAGGTTAGGTGTCGGTTTTGCTGAATGCATCACTCGGGTTCGGGATTATGGATTGAGTCCAAAGAAGCTGCTTTAAAAACACGAAAATTATGTTGTGCCTGTTTCATTGTTTCTTATAATGAAAACGAAAATGTTTAAAATAAAAATAAAAAAAACAGATAAAAACAATTACATAAATATTTTATTTATTGTTTTATTGAATCTAAATTTGTCTGGGAGACACGCTCAAGGAATAGAGCGTTAAGGGGAGAGAGGGAGAGAGAGCAAAAGCACAATATGCAACAATAAATTCGAGTGACTTTTATTCATGAAATTATGGACCCCTATTTATAAAGTTGGGGGATGTACAATTACATATTGTACTCTTAGTACACATAGATACAATTGGGGGTATTTTAGTCAATACAATTTAGTCGGGACCATAAAAATTCTTGTTCGAAACAAGTCCGGGTAGGTTCCGGGCGGACAAGGACGGGTAAGCTTTCGAGCGAACAGGGTCGGTAGATTCCCGGTAGGAGTTCCTAGTTGGACGGAGCCAAGTTCTTATGTCGGCCTCTCACCTGGCTTCTTCTTTGGTCGGGCGACCGTTTGCTAGGAAAAAATATTGCATTAGAACTCCGCACGTAGAGTTACATGCGGAGTCCAATGAAATCACACCACGTGGAGATACAAAAAAAAAGTCTGGTAACACCGTGAAATATTCATCCCTTGTTATTCCATGTTATTCAGATATTATTGTATTATATTCAAGTGTTATTGTAAGTTATTCAAGTATTATTATGTTTTGAGAATATTTCTGGTGTTATAATAACACAAGTGTTATAATAACACAATAATTACATGAATAACACACAATAACATATGAATAACACACAATAACACTTGAACAACATGAGAGGAATATTCCCTTGTTTTACTAGGCAGATTTTATTTTTTTTCCTGCCACCGTGACGTGACGTGATTTCATTAGACTCTGCATGTAACTCTACATGCAGAGCCCTGATGTAATATTTTCTCGTTTGCTAGGCACCCAGTGTAAACTGTCGATTTGACTATTTGTTGAGAATTCACCGCTGTACAGGTTTGACAAAGAGTTTCGGCTAGTTGTCTCTGGGTCAAACGATTCACTTTGCTTATTCGGCCATAGCAGATCAATGCCTGATTTATCTGTGTGGATCTAGTACTGGCGAGTTGATTTCTAAGTAGGTGATCGAGATCCATCTGTCTGGGAAATGCTTTCTTCCTGAACTGACGAGGCGTAGATTATTGGATTACCCCTAGCAAGCCCCCACAATGCCACTTTTCTTCATTTGCCAGTCATGGGGATATCTGCGAGATTCGTGTTGACACGTTGTTGATATACAGTTTTATTTTTATTATTTTTTTTAAAAAAAAATGTTCTAAACAACCCCTATCTTTTAAAAAATCACTATATTTTTTTTATGCATGAATAAGATGGCAAATACATAAAAATTAAAATTTAGATGTTAGATAAGTAAATGCATCGGATTTAAGTGATATATATTTAAACCTTCCAAAGAACAAATTTTTTTGAGGCTTTGAGGCTTATTGTAGTTCTTTAATAATTCTCAATTTGAATTGGGAGAAATTAGTTGTCAATTTTATATTAGAGACTTTATAAATATAACCACTTCAAATTTTCTAAAACACAAAATAAGCATGAATTATTAAAAGAAAATATATTTTAGGAAAATTAATGCCCAAAATTCTCAATTTTTTTTATGATAATGATTTTGGCAAGTAAAATATTATTATTTTTTCATTGATTATATGCTATTATTATCGAGGGCATTTACACACATATCAATGTATTTATACACTAATGCCTAAACATTCAAATTTACATTTATAATCCTCAATTCTTAAATATATTACAAAAAAATAATTGCAACTAATATTTTTAAAAGTAAAATACAAATTTTTATTTTCAAAATTTGCCTCTCAATTTTTTGTGCATTTATCTCTCACACACTGCAACCCTTATTTTTACAAAATATGTTGAGCGCTTGATTTTTTAAAATGAAAGTTTGGCTATGAGAATTAAATGTACAAAACTGTGTTTTGGCAGCTTATGCATTTTTAAAATATTGAAAACAACATTTTCACACCGCACATGTCTAGGTGGGTGGCAGCTTTCTGGCCGCGATCTGACTTTTCCAAAAAAATAAAAATTTATAATAATTACCGCACGTAATTTATCAACAAATTATTTTTAATCAGCTTATCAACAGATTAATCAAAACTGTAGTTGTCCCAAATAGACCTTTCAGTGCTCTGTATTGAAAATTCCTCTTTTCATTTATTTGTTCATGACATCAGGATGCTATAATTAAAAATAAGACGTTTTAGATGTTACATATATAATTATTTAAAATTGATGTGGTATTATTATTATATTTTTCACCATCAATAATTTGTCCTTGCAAGATCAACGCAATTAATTGGACGGCCGAGATCAGTGTCCTTTGATCACGATTTGCAGATCCTTCCTTGCTGGGCGAACGAGAGGACAGACGTTGAAAAGGTGCAGCTAGCGTGAACGTCGGCTGCCGACTTCGAATTTTAGCCGCCATCCAGTATGGCTAACTAAACCTAGCCCCTGGTTTCCTTCGCCGGCGGAATACTCTGTAGGCCTACGATCCTCTCCGGTAAGCTCTTCTTCTCGTTTACCATAGGTTTTTTTTGCCGGCATTTGAAGACAATCGAATTTTTTTGAATTGGTTTTTGCGCTTCGTGCGATATCAGTCTCCATCAAACGCCATTCGATCTGCATGTTTTTTACCGTTTATTTCTTTCTAAGGGGACTGTGTTCTCGTTGAGAAGATGAGAGAGCTTTGGGTATGATTAGGCCATTCATGATCTTGTGCTATTTGTTGCTCTGGAGAATTAGGAGTTCTATCAAAGAATAACTTTTGGGGCATATGGAGATTGGAGTAGTGGTTTTATGTTGTTTGTTATTCATATCCGAGCGTTGCAGAGGCGTGGAGATTTGACTTCTTTTGCAATTCTTATGTAGTTACTTTATGTTAAGTTGGGAATTTTTTGAATTGGCTGCGTGAAGGTCAGACAATGTCCCCTTTTTTTATGACGGAATGGATGCGATTTTAGTGTACTTTGGATTCTTTTTCATTGGGATGGGATTTGGTTGATTATGGTTTTATTGAAGCTTTTATGCCCACTTATATTTATTCGGCTGTGGTTGATGATTTCCAGGCCAATTTTGTTGAGTAGAATACTCAACATGGGTATCAAATTGCAAGCTTTGAGAAATTTTGATGCGTTTCCACGAGCAGAAGACCACTTGTTGCAGAAAACGTTTTCAGGGGCTGTTGGTGGGCACCTTCTTCATCACTTTTTTAATGCTAATTTGTACTCCAATTTAGTTGTCTGTATTTCTTTGATTCGACATTTAATTTTCAGCATTTGAACGAGTTGATGACAACTCTTTTTCATCCTTTGTTTTAATGGGTAAATTGTAAGCTTTTGTGCTATTTTGCTCTTTGTAGTTTCTATTGTTGGGCTTTCCATAATGGCCACCTTGTTCGCACATGAGCTCAAGTATTATCTCACAACTTACACAGTACATCAGGTATGGTGGATGGCTCTTACTTTTTGTCATTATTTTGAGCTATTGTAAGAAAATTTGATCTGTCTACCTATTGAGGATGACATTTTCCGCTGAATGTTCATAAACTTTGCATTTTTTTTCTCAATATGCACTTAACTAAATTTTCTTTATGTAATCATGCAAGCCACCTTAGCCTAGTGGTTGAGAGCTTTGTCTTTCAACTAAGAGATGTTGGGTTCTAGATCTTGCATGTGCTAAGTGTGTGTATCTGTGTGTGTACAACAACAACAAAATCAAGCCATTGTCCCACTAAGTGGGGCCGGCATTTGTGTGTGTGTGAGAGAGAAAGAAATTCTTATGTAATCAAATCCGTCGTCATGCTTCTTATGTGGTTAAAATAATTAAGTGCTACTTGCATAATTCCCTCATTAGCAAGACCTTTTACTTGAGAAGAAGGCTGTGAAGCTGTCAAGCATTTTATTTTTAGAGTATGCTGGGAGAAACTATGTGGAAATGACCTTTATGAATGAAGCTTTCATTTTACCAAGAATGTTAAACTTGCTTTCTTTCAATCAAGAATATGAACCTTATATATTATCACGTGTATTTTGAGTGTTTTTTGGTATGTGGGTGATTTACTAGATGAGCCAAAAGGGTGCAAACAGTAGTTAGATTAAGTTATTTAATTTTGGCACAAATTGTTAAAACATTTTGGTAGTTTTGGTTGAGGCCTATTTCCAATTTATTATTTTTATTGATGCATTTGAAAGCTTCCAATCATATACCTAGATTGTTAGGAGAGTGAAATATTATGCCTTCAACTTAAAGGCCATCAGTATAGTGGATGGACACCAACCAAACCAAAAATTTAAGCATAGGAGTGTTGTTCGTTGCTAGCATATATTAAAATTAACTTTTATTTTACTTTTGACTTATCCACTCATTTGTTCATTTTAGCCCATATATCTCCTATATGAGAGTCCATATCGACTATCACTCACTTTTAAGAAGAATCCTTTTCGTCACTGTTGACCTCATTTTGAGGTAATTACTCTTTTCATTAGGATCCTAGGATCAAGCTCTAGGGGTTCCTATTGACTATCTTAGAAAATTAGAACTGGGACCCACCTTTTTTAGAAAATTCAGCCACCTTCTATTTCTCTTGTGATGTCTCGCTTGAGTGGTCTCAAACCATCGTCGTATAGTCGAGGGGTTAAGGACTATCATGTGGAAACTCAGGGAGAAGTTCTCAATAGGATCTCAAACCCTAAGAAAATCACTTTAGGACTTTATCATCACACATGCACACACAAGATGCACGAACTTCACTAAGTCGCATAAAATCGGACTTAAATTGAGCTTAAGGATGGGTGAAAACGCGAACTTCTCCGAACGACCTCCGACGACAAAATGGACTGTGCAAACGCGTCTGGGACACCAATTTTAGTAGGAAAAGATACTCATATTGTCATATTTTCGACACAAATAAAATTGCACACAAATTGATGAATTCGTCAAAACGACTTGAATTCGTCAAAACGACTTTCGATGGTGAAACGGACCACGCCAGCGCGTCCGGAACGTCAGAATTACCTTAAAAAAACATCAATTTTGTTATGTTTTGACGCACGAATAAAAAGTACGAATCAAATTTTATTTTTAAGGAATATTAAATATTTTATATATTTTATTACTTGTAATTTTAAAATTATAATCCTAAACCCTATTTACCCCTTACCCGCGCACTTAAACCCCATTTGGCCCGTTCCATGGCTCAATCACGCGGTGCTCGTCCCGCTCCCCTCGTGTGCCCTAGCTCCCGTGGATGATCCACGCGGCAGTCTCCTCTCCCTCTCTCGTTTCTTCCCCTTCTTCTTCCCCTTCTTCACGCGCACGCGGCCGCTAGACTCTTCGGCTCTCCAATTGCAGGGGCCAAGCTGACCGACCCTTCTCCTTCTCGAGGTTTTAATTTCTCCGTCTTTATTGTGACGATTCCATCTCTGTTGTTCTATTCGACCACGAAAACGGTGGTAGGTAGTTGTCCCCTCTCTTCTCTGCCTATAAAAAGGCTTCATAGAGCACTGTTTTGAGTTGTTGAAATTTTCTTGAGAAAAAAAGGGAGGCTGTGATTTTATTGTTTGAGATTTTTAGGGGAGAAAGCTTTGCCGAAATCCTTTCTAAACTAAGTTCTCGTGCGCTGGGAGTGTGGAGTATTCGTGGGTTGCTGTTTTTTGAGACTTTTAGGAAGGGCAGCTTTGCCAAAATCTTCTCTAAGTTGGATTCTCGTGCGCGGGGAGTGTGAAAGATTTGTTGGTTGCTGTTTCTTGAAGTCTTTAAAAGGAGGATTTTTGTTGGATTGGTTTTCTTGAATTTATCTTATAATTTTGCTTTAAATCTTCATAAAAGATGTATTCTCCTTCTCTCCTCTATTTTGCACTATTTAGGATGACATCTAAAAATGTTTATTTTCTCTTTTAAAGCATGTGGAAGCAAGATTTGAGCTTGTTCTGAAATTTAAGCATGAAATAGCCCTTGGAAACATTAAAATAGAGCATAATCTGGCTGCCTTCTTTTCTTTTTCTGCTCGGATACATGGAAAACATGTTTAGGTCCATTCTCACATGCAAATTTTCTTCTTGCACTTCTATTATTTCTATACCTACATGCTGGAAATTGTGGTTTTCTTTCTTTGCTTATTGTTGAAGCAATTTACTGTTAAAGGAAGGATGATTTGTGTGGGAAATCAAAGAAATTATTTGTATTTTTCTTCTTTATAAAAGAGGTATTCTCCTTCTCTCCTCTATTTTGTACTGTTTAGGATGACATCCAAAAATGTTTATTTTCTCTTTTAAAGTATGTGGAAGCAAGATTTGGGTTTGTTCTGAAATTTAAACATGAAATAGTCCAACATTAAAATTGAACATGATATGACTGCCTTCTTTTCTTTTTTTGCTCAAGATATATGGAAAGCATGCTTAGGTTCATTCTCACATGAAAATATTCTTCTTACACTTCTATAATTTCTATACCTACATGCTGAAAATTATGACTTTCTTTCTTTGTTCCTTTTAAAGCAATTTACTGTTAAAAGAAGGATGATTTGTTTAGGGAAAAAGATGATTTATGTTTTTTTCCTGCTTAAGATGCATAAAAAGTCATGAATATGAATTTTGGATTGATGCTTGCTCATCTAGAATCTATGCTGGAATCCATTTTTATGTCGAAGCATATGCTGACACAATACTTTGAAATATGAGGCTTCGAGGGAAAATATTTTTAGTTGTTTTAACCCATTTGTTGGGGTACAGTTTTGGCTCTTTGGAGTTGGATTCTTGCTGGAAATATTCTCTGTTTTGGCCCATTTGAAGGGCTCGATTTTGGCTCTTTGGGGTTGGATCTTTGCTGAAATTTTTGCTTCTGATTTGCCCCTATGTAGGGCTTGGTTTGCCCATGTGTTGAGTTCGATTTTGGTCATGAAAAGTGGGAATTATGTATGAATTTTTTTTTTGTTTTTTTGCCACTTTGGTGAGCTCGGTTTTGGCTTCTTTTAGACTGAATTTAACTGAAAGTTTTATATTATTTTTAACCCACTTAGTGGGCTCGGTTTGGTTCCTTTTGGTATCATGTCTTGACTGAAATCTTTGCTGTTTTTGGCCTCTTTGATGGGCTCGGTTTTGCTCCTGTGCTGGACTTGATTTTGTCCATTTGGTGGGCTCGGTTTGCCCTCTCTATTGGGCATGATTTAGTTAGAGATTATTCTTTAACATTCTTCTCAAGTTTTTATTTTTATTGGTAATCAAGTTTGTCATCCCAAAATTCATGATTTCAATGACTACCTTTATGTGGTGGTGTTTGATATAAGTAAACTGACTTACTATCATGACTTATGTGTTGTAAACGGTTTCAGCCCTAATGATTTATAATAGCTTGCCCATTCACTCTCTTATATATATCAAAAGCAATACAATGACAATATTTATGGTTGTTTTCTTTCATTATTTTTGGCCGCGAGTCTTATATTACGACTTGTGTTGTGGTTGTCTGGAACATAATTTTCTTCTCATTTTTCCCTGGCTATGAGCTTTCTTCTATGACTCTTTTATGATTAAAAAAATGGTTGGATTGGGCTGGGTTTTCTATTCACTGTCCCTAGCCGTGAGTCTTGATATCCTGCTTGCCCCTTTGCTGGGAAGTTGGTTCAGCGATTGCGTGCGCTGCTCCCTTAATCTAAGAGCATTCACGTGGGATTCTTTTATTTTGTTTGGTTGTTCCTGGCTTTCTCCTTTGTTGTGAGGCTGATTTGGTGGCATTGGCTGTTACCTTTGGTCGTGAGCCTTACTGGGTGTTTGCTGCCTTTATGGCTTTCCTCTTGCTGCCCTTTACCCGTGACCCTTACTGTTGTGGTTTATGTTGTAGTTGTCTGGGATTTAATTTGCTTCTTATTTTATCCTGACCATTAGTTCTTTCTATGGTTCTTTTATATTAAAAATGGTTTGTTCAAGCTTAAATAATGATGATATAGTCCCTGCTGCCTTGGTCGTGAGCGTTGTTTGATGATTATGGCCTTTATGAACTTCCTCTTGCTGTCCCTACCCGTGAGCTTAAAGGATGGAATTTTTTCTCTTGTTGCCCTTTACCCATGAGCCTTAACTTGTAACCTCTTCATGGAATATGTTGAGTTGGTGCCCCCCCGGGCCCCCCCCCCCCCCCCTCTACTGGTTAATTCCTCTTAGGTTTTTGGCGATCCCACGTTCGATGACGTGATCGACTCGTGGACAACTATTCCTTTTTCAAAAATTGATAAGAACATATACAATATTTATAAAAAAAAATATTTTTACTATAAAATTAGTACAATTTTTCTTTTGTATGCTTGTCTACTTGTTGATTACTGATATTGGGCTAAGGAGTATCCTTCTAAGTTATGTTCAATAGGACATTCTTTTAGTGGAGTGACGAGTTTTATACATCCTGGTGACTGATAGTAGCCTTCGACGTCTCTCGAGTACAAATATATATAT